GGGCGTAATCGGGTTGGGGCTATCATGGCGCGTGCCAAGAGCATCGAGTTAGTTGAGCAGGCACTCAAAGAGGTAGAAACCGTAATCATGCGCAATCACGGGGGTGACGACACCTTTTTCCGAACGTGGAACGCAAAAAAGGGAATTGAAGGCGGCAGAAGGATCATTTTCATTATAGAGATGGTGCTCGTCGTCATTGCGTCTGTCGCGTTGATTGTAGCGGGCATCGGTATCCTGAATATTATGCTCGTTTCGGTGACAGAGCGGATCCCAGAGATTGGACTGCGAAAAGCAGTCGGCGCGAAAAGTTTTGACATCCGTCTGCAGTTCCTCACAGAATCTGTGCTGTTATGTCTGATTGGGAGTCTGCTCGGTATCGCTTTTGGTACTGTCGTCGGGAAAGGCTTCGCATGGGCGGTGAGTCAATTCTTTAATGAACTTTCCTGGCCCTCCGTCGTTACCCCCGAAGCCGTGCTCATCTCCGTTACTGCGGGTGCAGTGATAGGTATCTTTTTCGGTTATTATCCTGCCAGCCAAGCCGCTAAAATGGCTCCCATCGATGCAATTCGTCATACATAAGTTGTCGGATGGTTGTAGAAGCAGTGCGTAATATCAAATTGAAAGGAGAAAACTGATGCCTAATCCCGAAACCAATCCTGAATCCGTTCAAGAGATATCGGCGCGAGAGAATACAATAACTTTGGAGGAATTTCTTGAAAACGACTTAGAGGGTTATGAATATGTAAAAGGAGAATTAGTCCCAATGTCGCCCCCATCAATGGAACACGGTGAAATAAGTAGCAACGTTCATTTAAGCTTAGGTCTGCACGTTCGCGAAAATCAGTTAGGGCGTTTGTATATTGCCGAAACGACTTTTGATTTGGTGATAGACTTGTGAAGCCGGATGTTGCGTTTGTGTCGACGGAACGGCTGCCGGAAAATAGGCGTAAGGGGTCACCTATTCCGCCAGATCTCGCTGTCGAGATAGTCTCCCCGACAGATAAACACTACGATGTCACCGAGAAGGCATTCGCCTATCTGAAGGCGGGGACACGTCTGGTCTGGGTTGTTGAACCTGTCGCGAAAACGGTGATGGTTTACCGCTCTGAAACAGATTTCACACTGCTTACGAGTGAAGACGCATTGACAGGTGAGGATGTCGTCAAAGGATTTACGTGTCCAGTCGCGCTACTTTTTGAGTAGATTTTAAAGAGAAACAATGCCTATTTTTAGATTAGACGGAGATAAACTCATCATTGCACAAGAAACAAACCTTGAACTTGAAAAACATCTGGAGGATTGGCTTGAAAATAGCCCGTGGGCAGTTATTGATAACACAAGTTGCCACCTATTTGACATAGCACTCCTAATGAAGATTAAGAATTTAATCGGGTAATGTAGGTGTCAATTGTCTGAACCGGGATTTACGGGATTCAAGGATTTGCAGGATTATAGAACCTTCTTGCTTGAAAACAGGCCTTTATAGAATTACCCATAGGTGTCAATTTAGGGATATTTCACGGCATGTTGTAGCAGCATGCTACACAAATGCCGCCCCTCCAGGGCTAAATTCCATACATTCACCTTACATTAGGTGTGAGAATGTGTTGGGTTTCACTCGTCCTTTGGTGATTTCAGATTTCTGGATGAACCGGAAAGTTATCTATTATGTGTGATCTTTAGTATATTCCCGTTCAACCCAACCTACATAAACCCATGCAACAAACTTCTCTTCACACCCCTCCCACACAAGGCATCAAATACATCGGCTCCAAGCTGAAACTTATCCCGCAGGTCTTGGAACTCGTAAAAAAGGTCGATGCTAAAACAATCTTGGACGGGTTCTCAGGCACAACCCGCGTCTCACAGGCACTCGCCAAACTCGGCTATACTGTTATCTGCAACGATGTCGCCCCTTGGTCAAAAATCTTCGGCACCTGCTACCTTCTCAACACAAAACCGAGAGACGCGTACCAACCGCTCATCGATCATCTCAACGCCGTGCCATCTATTGACGGTTGGTTCACGGAACACTACGGCGGACATGCCAACAGTGGATGCGCAATCCAGGAAGATGGACTCAAGAAACCGTGGCAGTTCCACAACACCCGTAAATTAGATGCGATTCGGCAGGAGATCGAAACCCTCAAGCTCGATCCAATCGAAAAGGCAGTGGCACTCACAAGCCTAATACTCGCACTCGATCGCGTCGATAGCACACTCGGTCATTTTTCTGCTTATCTCAGAGAGTGGGCACCCCGCGCCTATAAAGAATTAGCACTTAAGGTGCCTGAAGTCTTTACGTCAGAAGGAGACCATCAGGTCCACCAAGCCGACATTTTTGAACTCGTGCCGCGTGTCTCCGTAGACCTCGCGTACTTCGATCCGCCTTATGGTTCAAACAACGAGAAGATGCCTCCGTCCCGTGTCAGATATGCGGCTTACTATCATCTCTGGAAAAGCGTTGTTCTCTTCGACAAACCCACCCTTTTCGGCAAAGCAAAACGGCGAAAGGATACATCAGATCCTCTCGCCGCTTCTATATTTGAGGAATTCCGCCGCAACGATGACGGACAATTCATCGCTGTCCAAGCTATTGCGACGTTAATCCGAGAGACGCAAGCCCGCTGGATTCTGCTCTCTACAGCTCCGGCTGTCGCGCGACTGCGCAACAACTCAACGAAGTTATGCAGAACAACGGAAAACTTCTCACTGTTCTCGAACTTGACTACAAAAAGAACGTCATGGCAGGTATGCGATGGACGCATGAATGGGTAGACATTGCTGAAGAGCCGAACCGCGAATTCCTTTTCCTTCTTGAGAAAAACAGGTTCCTCATTTGAACCATCTCTTTCCATACTGCGTTCCGCAAGAGAGCAAGTCGTAACGATTACGCGACCCGCTCGCGAGTTTTGTTGGCGTGCCTAACGTTCATCGCTTTTAACTTTCGCAACGAGATGCCAATGTATACTGCACTCCAGCGGCCAATCGGTACAAATACCGTCTACTTTGCTGGTGCGGGCTTTGTCCCAGGTGTCCGGTCGGTTTTCACCGATGTGCAAGGCGAGCCAGACTTGCTTACCGAGCTTACGAGCCTGATCCATCGATTTCACGTTTGGAATGAATCGCACCCACAGGCAATCTGCCAGCGGATCACGCAAGGTTGTGGTGAAATGATCGGCTTCACTATCATTTAGATACACCGTGGTGCGTAGTTTTGGGTTGGCTTGTTTGAAGCGACGACTTGAATCGCTGGACTGACCGAAGGCGAAGAGTTGATCGAACAACTCATACTTTTCGACGAGACTCACGATGTTCTTCTCAATTCCCGGCGAAATGACTTTCATATTCAATGCGATAGTCAATGGTGTTCGTTGACGCTCGCGAATGAGTTTGAACACTTCTTCCAATGTCGGCACCTTCTCGCCAGTGAAACGCGGATCGAACCAACTTCCGGCATCCAGTTTGCGGATGTCGTCCAACGCCATTTTGATGACTTCGCCGGTGCCGGTGGTCGTGCGGTCTACAGTCCCATCGTGAATGACAACCAAGTGTTCGTCACGTGTCTGATAGACATCCAACTCGATCGACAAACCCAACTCGATGGCGGCGGCAAAACTGGGCAAAGTGTTCTCGGGCGCGTGCCGTGCCAAACCGCGGTGAGCGAGCAAGATCGGATTCGTGGGCGACTCATGCATCTCTGGCTCCGACGGCGCGGCGATCACACATGTAAGCATAAGCATGTTGAATGGCATAATTTACCCCCTGATTGCAAACCAACCTTATCTGGAGTCGCGAGATGGCAATTTTCCGATGTATCGACTCCCAACCGATAGTCCTTCTTCACAGTGTTATATAGGATTCTCACAAAATGCCTTAACCCTCGGATGTTCCAATACTTCCGGGTTAAGAACATGCGCTGGCGCGCGTCCTTGAATCGCATCCGTAACCTGCTTAATTGTGCAAAGATCCAGCCGAATGCCAGATTCAACAGTCATGCCCGCATTGTGATTCGTACAGATGATGCGCGGATGGTCTTTGTGGATCGCTCGAGGTCCGTTAACCGGATCATCCACGACATAATACCAGAGTCGGTTTTCACTAACAGCACGGTTGGCTGCTGCGTCGTCAACGAGGTTCCCGCGCGATGGATTGATGAGAGACGCATGCGGCTTCATGGCGCAGAGTTCCTCATAGCCGACAACAGTATCCGCACCGGATAGGTGCAGGGATACAGTATCGCTCTCTTGGAAGAGCGTCAGCGGTGTATCAACAGCCTCCGCACCAAATTCCGCGGCGAGTTCAGCGATATCCGGACGAATATCATACACCAAAAGCCTTCCCTGCTCACCCAGAAGTGGACGAGCGCGGCTGCGCGACCTCTTGACCTATACGACCAAAACCGTACAAACCGAGCGTAGAACCCATCACCTCATGGGTCTTGATAAGCCCGAAATTCCCGTTATGGGAGGCGTTGTTTAGCGTATAGACCCGCTTCATGGTCGCGAACCACTGTGCAATCGCATATTCGGCGACGGTTACCATGTGTTCAGGAGCAATCGTGACAATGACACCGTATTCGGTCGCCAAATCAACATTAACGGTTTCATATCCGACACCCCAACGCGCAATAATTCGGAGCGATTCAGCGGCTTGGTAGAAGCTTTCATGAAAAGGCACTCCCCCTGCGACCACACCAACAACGCCATCGGCGTGTTCTGCAGTCAGTTCCGGGGGATGGATACTCAACTCACCGAATTGCTGCAAATCTGCCAACGCTGCCCGGCGTTCCGCAGAATCAAATTCGGTATTTTCAAAAATAGGAGAGAGAAAAATTTTTGACATAGTTTTTTCTGTTTAGCGACTGATGCGGACACTCCCTGCCTCCATCGCTTTTTCTGCCTCTTCTGCTGTTGCCCAGTTGAAGTCGCCGGGGAAGGTATGCGCCAACGCAGAATACCCGCCTGCGAAATCGACTGCTTCTTGTAGTGATTTTCCGTTCAGTAGACTATAAATAAGTCCCGATGAGAAACTATCACCGCCGCCAACCCGATCCACCAATTCCAAGTTCTCATAGATACGTGACAAATAGAACGCTTCGCCATCATACAGAGTGTCCGCCAATCGTTCAACCAACCCGTTTTGGCATCACGCAACGTCGTACCGATCATTTCAATGTTCGGGAAAGCGTCCTTGACACGTTGTGCGACTGCTTTGTAGCTATCAGGTTCAAGTTTACTATAGGATTCGGTCGCCCCTTCCGCCGCGAAGCCGAGTGATTTCTCAAAATCTTCCTCATTACCGATGAGAACAGAGACATGCTCCATCATCGGTCGGTTCACTGCTTGTGCCTCTTCTGCACTCCACAATTTAGAACGGAAGTTCAGGTCGTAACTCGTTTTGACCCCCGCAGCGCGTGCCGCTTTGAGTGCCTCTGCTGAGACGGCAGCCGCAGATTTTGACAACGCAGGCGTAATCCCGCTAAGATGAAACCAGCGCGCATTGCTGAAAATAGATGCCCAATCAATTTCTCCAAGCTGCACGTTAGAAATCGCAGAATAACCGCGATCATAGGTGACACTGCTCGCACGCGGTCCGGCGCCTAACTCAAGATGATAAAATCCGTTGCGTTCCAAGCCGACCCCATCAAAATCGACCCAAACAATGTTCGACATATCCACACCGAGTTCGCGCCCCTTGTTGCGGATATACCGACCTGACCAGTTGTCTACGAGTCGTGATACCCACGCAGTCCGCAATCCGAGTTGTGCAGCATTGACGGCGACGTTCATCTCCGCACCGCCTGCTGTGATTGAGAGCGATGACACCTGCTCAAGCCTCATATACTCCGGCGCGGTGAGTCGGATCATCGCTTCCCCAAACGTAACTAAATCGTACATGTTCATTCTCCTGCTTTGGTGTCTGTTTTGTTCCGGTATTCGTTATAGAGGTTTTCAATACATTGCCCACAGAAACAGTAGACTCTGCTGTATCCGCCGACCTCTTTTTCAAGCAATTCGTTCATCGTAAATTCGTTTTGGCAGATCGCACAGACTTCTATCAGTGCTCCGGGGTCAGTCGCTTCCGTGTTGGCTTTCCGCCGAGACAGAAAGTGCAAAATCAACCAAACGGCGATAGGTGCGAGAATTACAAAAATAATAAATAGCATGCATGGTTTCCTTGTAACGAACGACATAGAACAACCGATGTTCCTATTACTATAGCGGATAGTCGAGAACATGTCAACGGAAATTGTTTTGATTAATTCGCGGCTTCTGTGCTAAAATAACCCAAGTTCGATGGAAAAACAGCCAGTAAGTTGGCTTGAACGGAAACCTATCAATATCAGATGTTTATGAGGCAAAAGCCGCCGGCTTTCCAAGTACCATGAAATCGCGGAGAAGTCAGTGAAACCCAACACTTTATCTAACAGGACGGCTGCCGAAAGCCAACAACCACACATGTCCAAAATAGCCCACGTAGATGTGTATCCGACTGCTGTCGGGATGAAAGACAAATTTAATATCGGGACCGGTTTCGTCGGGGACCCTGGATCCGCTGGGGACCATGTTTTTGTCAAGATCACAACAGACGATGGCTACGTCGGTTGGGGTGAACAACGCGCGCTCCCTTCCTGGAGTTACGAAACCACCGAATCCATCACAACCACCGTTCGGCATTACATCGCCCCTTTGCTGCTCGGACGCAATCCATTAAATCTCAACCAAATCCATGAGGCGATTTATCAGGCGTTGAAACCTGCCGTTAGCAATGGACATCCCTTCGCAAAAGCCGCTGTTGATATTGCCTTACATGACCTCCGTGGACGCATCCTTGACATCCCACTACATACCCTCTTCGGTGGAAAACGCCACGATACGCTACCTCTCTGCTATGCATTGAGTATTGATACGCCAGAAATAATGGGGATGAAGGCGAAAGCCCTATCTCCATGTTCCTGTTTCAAAGTGAAAGTTGCCGGAACGCCAACGGAAGATGAAGAACGCCTGCGCGCAGTACATGAAGCGATGCCAGATGCCAAGCTTTGGATCGACGCGAATCAGTCTTATACGCCATCGAATGCGCTTGAATTGCTGAAACGAGTCGCAGATATTCGTGAAATTTACTGCATGGAGCAGCCCGTGGCAAGTCAAGATTGGTTCGGTATGAAGCGAGTCCGAGAAGATGCTCCGATTCCGATCGCCATTGACGAGGGTTGCTTCACCTACTTCGATTTGGCGAAGATCGCACGCTTGGAGTGTGCAGATGCTGTCGTTTTGAAAGTGTGTAAATCTGGAGGGTTAAACGAATGTCTTAAGAGCGTGCCTATCGCCGAAGCCAATTCACTTGAACTTCTCGGTAGTGGATTGACAGAAGCGGGAATCGGGTTCATCGCAAGCGTCCATCTCTTTTCAACTTTGGATCTTGTTCTTCCTGCGGAACTCAACGCGCCTGCTTTTCTGGAAACTATGGCAGTGAGCGGCATCCAAATCTACGACCACGTCGTAACAGTACCAGAGGGTCCAGGTCTCGGTGTTACGCCTGATGAAGACTACATCAAGGCGAATTTGCTTGATGTTGAGAGTTCTTAAGCAGTATGAATATTTCTATGGGAATAGCGATAGTAATTGCCACCGCGCAGAGTAGGTAAGGACTCTGAACACCCAGTGATGAGTCCGCCGAGATACCTCCAAGGAACGGACCTAACAGGATTCCAACCCCTAATATGGCTTCGTGCCACCCGCTTTTATTCCCTTTATCTGCATGCCGGTCCAACCCGTAGTAGAGGCTACTAAAGTAAGTAAACGCTACAGACACACCGATAGCTGCAAAAGCAAAAGCCCAAAGAATTGTATGCTGTGTCAACCCTATTCCGAGGAAACTCAGAATTGCCAGCAGTTGAATAATCAGTAGTGGGCTAAAACGATAATGCCACCGCGTCGAGTAGCCGGTCCCGAGGACGACGAACGCCAGCGTTTGAACACCCCCGAGTATTAGCATTAAATTTCCGTAGATTACCGGGCGTATTCCCATCTCCAATGTGAGTTTCGGTGCGAGCTGACGGAGTACACCAAGCGCGAACCACGAGACAAAATTCGCACACCGAGCCAGATGGAGATAAGTCATCCGAACGGGTAGAGGTGGATACAGTATCTCAGGCGGTTCCGAGTCAGACTCGTCTGTGTGGACGGATAGATTTGATGGGTCGGATTTGGCGATACGAGAACACCAAATTGTCACTAAGGTGAGTATGGCGAAAATACCGGCGAGGTAGAAAGGTCTGAACGGGTTTGCACCCCCGTATAGATAACTGGAGAACGCCGGACCCAAGGTCATGCCGATGCTCCAGAATAGGTTGAAGAGCATAATCCGTTGGATTAAATCGCCTTCGCCTTCCTGTTCAGCGAGCCATGCTTCGTAAGCCGGAAAGAAGAGTGCCATACTTATGCCGATTCCGGGAAAGACACTCATCAGATGTCCGCTATTTCGACAAAGGGCGAGTCCTATGCTGACGACACTAAGTATCAAGCACGCGGCGTAAAGGATATACCGACGTTCTATCCGGTCCGAGAGTCTCCCACACGGGATCGCAAGCAGCGCGAAAATCCCGTTGGTTACTGCCATCAACACGCCAAGGAAGGTTGAGGAGAGTCCTAAATGACTGGTATAAAAAGAGGTATTGGTTAAGATGCTGCTAAAGGCAAAGTCAATCAGTAGGACTGGCAGATAAACGGTGAGGAGTTGGAGCGGTTTTAGGCGCATTAAGGCATCGGGGTTGAAAACCCCTCCTACAAATGTTATGGCATCACAATCGCGGCGTCAATCATGTGATAGCCTGTCGCGCCAACCGGTTCTACTTCGATTCCGATTTCGTCTTGCGTAACACCACTGTTGGCGGTGGCTCTCGCGTAAATCTCAACAGGCTCCGATTTCTCAGGAACCTGCCAATTCCATCTCCAGAGCACCCACGCAAGCGGGGTATCTTTCGCCCAAATTTCTGCCTCTTCCCATGTCTGTCCGTAGTCAATACTGACTTCTACCTTCTTGATGCCGCCGTGGTTGCCTGCATCGAACGCTGCACCGCTTACTGTGTAAACCTTGCCGCCGGGAATTTCCTCGTCTTCACTCGGTGCTCCAATCATTGTGGCAAGTTTCACATTCGCGATCGGATCCCAGCCCCGTTTCTCCCAGTAACTTTCGTGTTCCTTTGCCAACTGGATGTTGATTATCCATTTCGGATTTTTCGTGCCGTAATGACCGGGGTTAAGCAATCGAACGGGGAAGCCGTGCTCAGTCGGTAGTGGTTCATCGTTCATTTCGTAAGCGAGGAGTGTGTCTTCACGCATCGCATCTTCCAAAGGAATCGCCGTGTGGTAGCCATCCGCACACCGGAAGACGACCACTTTGACTTCGGGTGTTGGTCCGACCTCCTCAAGCAGATCGCGCAGCCGAATTCCTTTCCACACTGCATTGCTCATCTGTTCCGTACCGATCGGGTCACCGATGCACTTCAGAGTTCGCATCGCCGTGACAGACTCCATCGCCGTGATGTCTTCAAGTCGCAACGGTGGTATCCGTTTTTCAGTGAGACCGGTGATTAGCAATCGCCATGTCGTCGCGTCAAGCTCAGCAGGATCGCCGATCTGTAGGATATAGAAATCGGAATTCGGGGTTATCATGGTGCGCGGCTTAAGTCCTTGCACTGCTGCTGCGTGTCCTTCCAATTGAAGGGGTAGGACCATACCAGCGGCACTAATCGCGCTCAGTTTTATGAACGTGCGTCTTTTCATTTTTTAATTTTTCCTTGCGGAGAAACAACGTGCGTTTGGATTTTGACGTGCGTCCCTCAAATCCGCCTGCGCCGTTGTTGCAGGCTACGTTTTTTGATGATACCTTGAGGAAACCTTTTTACCGACAGTTTTCGACGGCTGATGGCTGATGGCTAATTATTCCTTGCGTCTTTTTCTACTTCGCATTCGCATCGTAATTTTTACGACCCCTCTCACCATAATTGCTGTGCCGCCGCACAGAAATAGGGGTAATCCCCATATCCAGTTAAAGAAAAAATAGGCAATAAAACTGACACACATAAAAATGATGAGAGTATTCAGAAGTTTTCTATTTTCATACCATTTCTGCATCTGTTTATATGATTCTAATGGTTTTGTCCTATTCTTGGACAGACACCTAAAATTCCGTATTTCCTAAATGATACTACATATACGGCTGAATGTCAATGGGAAATTAGGTGCATCCCAGGGTCATTTAGTTTTACATATTTACTTTATATGCGTGAACGTTTTTCCGCTGTAGGAGCGAGCTGTGCTCGCGATATTGCGCGAAAACCTTAACATCTGTGAACGAAAACCAAGATCGGAACCGAAAACTGAATAGCCCTGAGGTGCATCCAGTTAAAATATTAGTTGCGCTCTGTTTGAAAAAGTATTATGCTATCCCTATACATTCCCACACAAACCAAATCATTTTAAAGAGAAAGGACCGGAACTCTATGGCGAAACAACCGAATATCATTTTTCTCATGACAGATCAGCAGCGTTTTGATACGATCGGTGCTCTTGGAAATCCGATCATTCAGACCCCAGGATTGAATCGTATTGTTCGGGAGGGAACAAGTTTTACATCGGCGTACTGTCCATCTCCTGTATGTGTAGCGTCTCGTTGTAGTTTCCTACTCGGTCAATCGGTACACGAGACAGGGTGTACGGGCAATTCGCCGATGCCGCAGGACCGCGTCTCGGTGATGGAATTGCTCAACGAAGCGGGTTACCAGACGCACGGTATCGGTAAAATGCACTTCACGCCGCAGGGACGCAAGATGTGGGGGTTCGAAACGCGAGATTTCTCTGAGGAAGGTCCCGGTCCCGATGATTACACAGAGTTTTTAGGGGAAAACGGTTATGACCATATTGTTGCCCCGCATGGTGAACGGAGTGAGTACTACTACATCCCACAACCTTCCCAACTGCCTGCCCGTTTACATCATACGCAGTGGGTAGGCGATAAAACACTGGAGTTCCTGTCTGGACGTGATAACCAGCGTCCGTTTCTGTGTTGGAGCAGTTTTATCAAACCGCATCCACCGTTTGAATCCCCTGTGCCGTGGAGCCGCCTCTATCGTTCGGTTGAAATGCCACTCCCGTTCCTGCCGCCAGATTATGAGCATCTGCATACCTACTGGAACCGACATCAAAATCGGTATAAGTACCGGGACCAGGGACGGGATATGAACCTTCTTCGGACGATGCGAGCGGCTTACTACGCTGCGATCTCTTTCATTGATTATCAGGTCGCTCGAATCCTTGACTACCTCGAATCGGAAGGCGAGTTGGACAACACCTTAATCCTGTACACGTCCGACCACGGTGAATTGCTCGGCGACTATGACTGTTACGGAAAACGTTCATTCCTTGACGCTGCCGCTCGGATCCCGTTGCTTGTCCGCTATCCCGAACGTTTTGAGGCAAACATACAGTGCGATACACCGACGAGCCTTGTTGATGTGCTTCCAACCTGTCTCGGTGTAGCTAACCTACCACCACAGACGGATCGCAGCGGCACTGATCTCGCCGATATCGCCGCCGGTAATACACAGCGAGAGGCGATCGTTGGACAATTGGGACAGGAAGACACAGGACTCTATATGCTCTTGACGGATGAATACAAATATATCTACTCTGCCGCCGATCGACAGGAATGGCTTTTCAGGCGGCTACAGGGGAGTCTTGATGATCGAAATCTTGCCGGTAATTCCGCATACGGTAGAATTCTCAACACCTATCGACAGCGTTTGATTGAATGGTTCCGTGAGGACGGTTACGAACTTCCACTCGACGGCAATAAGTGGCGCGACTTTTCCACCGCCGATTGAGCCTGAAAATCCGGATGCCGGTCAGCTTTTTCAAGATGGACGTTCTGTAAGCGATCAGTTCCCGTCAGGATATTCACCACACATTGATCCCCTATAGACATTGCACCCCACCGGGGTGCTACATCGGAAAAAGAAATTCCTTTTAAGCTCTCCAGCGGAGGGGTTTCCATGTCTATAGAGGAACGATGCCCATGAGCAATTATTGTAAAACCTACAATTAATTGTGCACTGGAGACACGACGGGCGAGGAGGACCACCTCGCCCCTACGAGCTGCCTTCTGTTAAAGGGAAGGTGTCTACTTAATTTTCGACTTTAGTATAATTAAAAACATGCCAATCAATTCTACTACCCAAAAAGTTGATGTCGAAGGCGGCATGGCACGCCTATAATACGTACCGCAAAGGTGTCAGTTACCGTTCGCAACTTTCAAAGACTGCTGCGTTACTAAGCGCGCCGCGCGAAGACATCTTGGCATTCCAGAAAGAACAATTAGCAAAACTCCTCCGGCACGCATACCAGACAACACCTTACTACCGTGAATTGCTCAAGACAGAGTCCTCGCACATATCACAAATTCCGACACTTGAGAAAAGGAACATTCGTGAACAATTGGAGCAGCTCTGCTCTGAGGCGGTTCCCCAGGAGCAGCGTATAAAGAACGCCACGGGAGGTTCAACGGGAGCACCCCTTACCTTCTATCAGGATAGAAATTATTGGAATCAACGAAATTTGAGCGTCTATTACTTCGATCGGTGGGCAGGCTGGGATTTCGGCGAATCCCAGCTGATTATCTGGGGTGCCCTTTCAGATGTAGAAGACCATCAAGATTGGAAGCGTCAACTGAATAATTTCTGGCGGAATCACCATTGGCTCAATGGATTTCATCTCACAGACGCGGCGATGTGGGCAACATTTCGGAAGATGAACAGATGCCACCCACAAACAATTCTCGCCTATCCTTCATCGCTTTACCAATTCGCTGTATTTCTTTTTGAAAACGGTTTGGCACCCAAGTGGGATTTAAAAGGGATTATTACTTCAGCGGAGATGCTACATTCGCACTATCGCTCCTTAGCTGAGACCGTTTTCAGCACGAAGGTTTACAACCGCTACGGAGGACGCGAGGTCGGATTAATTGCTATGGAATGTGCAGCGGGACGTATGCATATCAACTGCCACGATCTCTACCTTGAAATAGACAGTCCTAATCCATACACCACGTCGGGGGACATCCTAATTACACAACTCAATAACTACGCGATGCCGTTTATTCGGTATCGGATTGGAGACATTGGCCGCCTCTCCGATGAGCCATGCCCATGTGGGAATCAGTTACCTATTTTGGCAGAACTGCTCGGACGTAGTACTGCTACCTTCCGTACGAAGACTGGAACCTTGATACACGGGGGATACTTCACGCAACAGTTCTATAACGTCATTGGTGTAGACCAGTTCCAACTGATCCAAGAGACCCTTAAACGCTGTGTCTTGAAGGTGGTTATTAACGCACAATGGACAGAAGCAGCGCGCCGATACATGGTTCAGGGGATTCAGGGGGCACTCGGTGTTGATGTCATTGTCACGGTAAAATTTGTAGAAGAGATTCCACTTCCTACTTCGGGCAAACGGGAATTCACAATTTCAAAAGTTTTTTAATTTATGGGACCTGGACTGCGCTCCATTCCATTACGCGCAGGTTTCTGGTTAAGAGTGAAACTTAAACCAAAACCCGTAGCCCGTAAGCGTAGCGGAGGGCGACTCGAACACGGGCACTATCACAGTTTTTTCACTGGCACTTATCCGCAAGGTAAATTAGAAAACGCAAAGTTCCCGAAGCGGTGCAACCCGTTTTGTCCCACCCGGGACATAAGCCAGAATAAGCCCATCAATCAATAAATTCCGATCCGCGACGATGCCTGTACTCTGCTCCGCCGTTACACCTTTGGAAAGGAGTAGGTAAAATGTGTCTTTTGTCCAACCGGGCGTTGTAAAGAAGTTCCCCTGTCCTTTTGAAATAACAAGATCTACTTCCAACAGGGCGTTGAAAAATTCAGGAGTCCCGCGATAGAGATTCGTCCCGATCGTCTTCGCGCCTGATGATATGAGTTTCACAGCACCTTCCTGTATTGCCTGTCTGGAGTTCTCGGAAATTGCGGATAGTTCACGATTTCTTGTAAATCTGCCACTGTCGCATCGTTGCTCGCATTGTCCGCCTTCCCAACAATAACGATACGGTGTCCACACTTTACGAGTTCCTGAATGAAGGCGATGTCAAAAATCACCTCTCCATCGTTGTCAGCAAGCCAAAGGATCTGCTGCGGCACGGCGTCAATCACCTTTTCACAGAACACTTCATAACAGTCGATGGAAAAAGATGTTTCAACCGCCGCACGTAGCGATTCGGAGAAGTAGTCAGGATTGGCGTTCAGTTTTTTGACAACCCGTTCACTGCTGTAATCGATAATATTGCCAGCGACGACCAACTTCAAACGGGTTAGCCAATTGTCTTTCCAAAACTCCGTGAGTAATGCGAGTGCAGTCTGTCGTGCTTTCAGTTTGTCGTCGTGGTAAGGATTAGGATTGCCAGTGTGGAGCGTTACCATCTCAAAAATACTCCCCCAGAGTTCTTCTGGTGTGAGGGATTCGATGAGGTAATCGCCATTGGCGCGTCGAAGATCCAAGAGTGTATTTACGGCGTCGCACGCGGTTTGTTGCAATTGCGGGTTACGCGTCGCACGTGGAATCAATTCTGTCGCACTGTGTGACTGGACGTGTTGCCGAAGGTGCTCCCAATCTGGCAACGCTTTTTTCTCGCCGAAGGTAAAAACTCCAGGGCTATATTCGGCTGTTACAATCTGCTCGAAAAGCGACTTCGGCACCGCAGGTGGGGATTGCACTGGCGGAACACCGAGTACCCGATTTGACAAAACGGTGTCGGAGGGGATCACCGTCCCACGTGCCACAACGTCTGATAGTTGGACACTTTTTCCTACACTCACTGCATCAAAGTTGCTATTTTCAATCGTACTCCCTGTGGCAAGTCCGCGAACAGGTGCCGCTAACCTTTCAGGTAACGGATTTGATTCAAACGTCGTGTCATTTGCAGTGACATCCTGCAGTCCAACCGCATCTCCTACCGTTGTCGCGCCCAGCAATGTGACGTTTTCAAGCCTGCAATAGTCTCCGACCTGAACCTTTTCTCCGAGATGCACCCTGCCGAGGAGGTAGCACGCCGTCCCGATCTCAATATCTTCACTGTCCAACGTTATCTGTGCTGCGGGGTCAACACGAATCCCCTTCCGTGCGAGAGATTCCCGAGTCTGTGCAAACAGTGCCGCTTCACCCGATAAAACGTTCGACCACCGGTTAACGCCTGACAACACTTCACCGCGGTAGATAAAAGCGTTCGTCTTCAATCCATCTTCATAACAGTGTCGAATCAGGTCAACATGATGGAGTTCGCCGTTTCGGTTTGTGTGGGGTTGCAACCGGTGTATCCGTTCTATCAACGCACTTTTCCGAATCAGTGTGATACCCGTGTTGGTATACGCCTCACCGCTATGCCACCGCGTCCCACATCTCCTGTTTTTCTGACTCCGTCATGTCGTACCACTCTTTAGTCCGCGTGAGGTTACCCGCTGTATCGAAGAAGAGTCCACCCTTATCTACGACCGTTTCAGGGATCTTGCCACAGAGGCTAACATCTGCACCCAGAAATGAAATGGGAGAGCAACGTCTGTGCGAAAATGTCACGATCCAAAAACGGTTCATCACCGAACGTCACCCCAATCCATTCTGCGTCAGACGCATGGAGTGCTGGCAGTGCCGCTTGCAGCGCGCCGCCTGTGCCGTTCATTTCTTCTTGGATACACGGAATAGCATCGGGACCCAGCAGTTGCGCGGCAGATCCGTTTTTCTCAAGAGTCGATGCCATCTGTGGGTTAATGACAACAATATTGGGACGATTGCCGGGTAGGTAACGTCGCGAGTATTGGAGGGTGTTCTGCTCACCGAACATGATGTCCAGCGTTTTGCTCAAACGTCCACTGGGGTCAATACGGGTGCCTTTACCGGCAGCAAGCACCACCCATTGCGGTGTGAGGTAGTTTTCAGGATTGTCTGTTGGGAGTTTAGCGAGAAAAGTTTCGAGTGCAGCGGTATCTGATGAAATCGCTGTGAGCGTATCTTCCAGTTTGCAACCGAGGAGGTTTTCAAGAAAACGTGTTTTCATTTACTCGTTATTGTCTAATTCAGCTTGGATGGATTGAAACTGCGCTAATGCAGCCTCTAAATTCTCGGTGATTTCCGCTACTAATACGTCTGGAGTCGGAAGATCCGCTGCATCCTCCAGCGAATCCTCTTTCAGCCAGAAGATGTCGAGATTGACGTGCTCTCGTTCGATAAGTTGATCGTAATTGAAGACGCGAAATCGCTCAGTTTCAACCCTTGCCTCGCGATTTTCTGGATTGTAGACGTTGATAAAGTCTTGCAGGTCGGAATCGCTTAAGGGATTCGTCTTGAGTGTAAAGCGTTTATTTGTCCGTAGATCGTAGATCCAGAGTTTCCTGGTCCACGGTTCTTCACGCGCAGGTCGCTTATCAAAAAAGAGTACATTCGCTTTGACTCCTTGGGCATAAAAGATGCCGGTAGGCAGTCGCAAGAGGGTATGTACATCAAATTGCTTGAGCAGCTGCCGACGAATTGTTTCCCCTGCTCCGCGTTCGAAGAGAACATTATCTGGAAGGACGACAGCGCCGCGTCCATCTGTTTTCAGAATCGTCTTGATGTGTTGGAGGAAGTTGAACTGTTTATTGGAGGTCGTCGCCCAGAAATCCTCACGCTCATAAGTGGAGGCGGTATTGTTCTGTTTACTTCCGTCGGTCGCTATTGTAATACTGCTCCTGTTCCCGAACGGTGGATTCGTAAGCACTATGTCGTAGCGATCCTTCGTAGCACCTCTGAGGCTATCATCGGTTGTAGTTGGGCTCTCTGTCCCACCGATACCGTGCAGGTATAGATTCATCACACAGAGACGGACGACGTTATCAACGATGTCCGTCTTGTTTTCTACGGAAAAATGTCTTTTAGAAAAAATGAAGCGAGTAAGTTTCTCACCTCCCGAATAATTCATACCATATCCTTTATTGGAAGAGGTTGGTCAATGTTGTAAGAAAACCTGGCAGGAAAGAAACGTCAGTCAAAGAACAAATGCCTGCAATTTCCCGATCTTTACTAAAAAAAAGCACCGTAGACGACAAGCCCGTCGCCATAAAGACTCATGGTCGCTATGCCGTTTTCAGGTCGCCATTCCAATCCAATTCCGCCATCTTCTAACCACATCATGTCGGGCATTGGAATATTACGATGCACCCGCGTGAGCAAGGAAAGCGTCTCGTTGTACGCCGATTCCGGCACACAATAAACGTCTTCAGCCACAGCACAGGTTTCGTCAACTTCTTTGCGGATTTCGTCTAATTCGCGTTGGATGTGTTTCTTGAAGAGAGATTTGTCCGTCGGAGGCAGTGGGAAATCCAGCTTCTTTTCCGAAGTTTCCATAATATGTTACCTTTACGAATTCGAGATAAGTTACTATAAGGTCTTTAGCCAACTGTTCACTTAAAAAGCAAGTGGCACAGTTACGTCACACCTGAATTTAACATAAGTTTCCATTATAGTAGATTCCGTAATTACTTATACACTCGTATTGTCACGCGAACTGTGAAGGTACTTGGCACAGGCTAGCAGCCTATGCTACAAGTGTGAACATATTCTCGGATTTTACTATAAAGGCAATACCAATTTCAACCTTACCGAAAAAGTTCACTGAGCATCGTCAGGAAATTCGGCAATAGAATAGAGTCTGACAATGGGCAAATTCCATTGAGTTCCCGTTTATCATTGAAAAAAGCACCATAGATAACGAGTTTGTCACCATATAGCCCCATGGTCACTATACCATTCTCTGGTCGCCATTCCAGACTCAGACTGCCATCTTCTGCCCAACCTGGGTCAGGTGCTGGAATGTCTTCAGGAAGTAGTACTAACGTGAGTTTGAAAAAAGTTTAGTCGTTAAAAAAGCATCGGTAAATCGTTGATCTCCTGAAGTTCAGCGAGGTTCAGCGAGGATTTGTTCTCCAAAAGCTGATAAGCAATCAAAGCCGAAACGACATTCACTTGAAAGTTGACGAGATTTCTATGCCGGGTGTGCTCTAACTGCGTCTGTGTTTTGAGGACCCTGATGACCGATTCAATGAGCATCCGCTTTTTCAGCAACACCTCATCAGAAACCGATAACGGAAACCGGGGTTTCATGTTCTTGCGCACTTTGTAGACTAAATCCACGCCTTGCTGCCGGAACGTCTCCCGAAGGTCTTTGGAGATATGGTTTCCTCTATCGGCGTAGAGGCTGCCGTGAAGTCGATCCGCGAAGTCTCGCAAAGGTTTGCGGTCATCAGTATTCCCAGGGGGTCAACGCAACGTCTAAGAGTTCACCGCTGCCATTGATAACCCAGTGAAGTTTAAAACCGTAAAACCACCCCATAGAAGTCTTTGAACGTTCCGCCTGTCCCGCAAAGACGCGATGCGATGAAATCCGTTTGTCGTCGCAGACGCGCAGACGTGTAGAATCCACGAAAGACAGACCGCTGCGGGTCCCGAGGTGTGCCGAAAGATAAAACGTCAAGACCTCCAAGACTTCTTTTTTCAACTGCACGAAACGACTATAACTGACGAGATTGGGAAACTCAGCGCACCAATAGACGCAGACGTGTTTTTGATAGAAATGCTTAAACGTCCGATACCCACTTTCATGCAAGGCGATGAGGAGCGTCATCACCTCGCTCGGATGTAGCCTTCGCGGACAGTCCGCGTGTTTCCAACGGTGTAGCCCTCGGCAGACTCTGTGTTGCCTGCCATTTCTCATGTGCCAGAAAAAAGTCATCTATTTCGCAGAAAAGTGTTATGATATTCATCAGAGAACTCCTTTTGGTTGAAGAATGTTGCTAACTTCATTATACCAAAAGGGTTCTCTTTATACAAAAAATCTTTGAGTATTTATCAAACTCACGTTAATAAAGGTAAATCATTTTTGAGTCTCTCTTGAAGAGTTCTCAGTTCAATAGTTTGGTGAGTGAGGGCATCTGGTGTATGGAATGTGAAGATTTTCCGTGAGCGAGAGTCAGGATCTCGAATATCTCGAAAACAAGTCTCGACTCCTGTTGACGCGTAGGAAAACGGGAATTGGGGAAGACGACGTAAGTTATCCGGCAAGCTTGCTCGATACCGTTCTGCCTGTTGGAGGGCTCCGCTGAGAGTTGTCCCTTCTGGTTTGGCTTCTATGACCCCAACTGCAGCTCCATTGATAAACAGGAGGTAATCAGCCCTCTGATCTGCCTTCAACGGATACTCGCGAACAGCCACACCAAGCGCAGCAGCAGTGTTATGTTCAGAGTGATTTTGGATGCACCATCCCGCTGCTCCAAGCATATTGTCTATGTTGCGTCTTGCTCTCTCTTCAGGGGTCATTTTTTGGATGCACTTTGTTGGCGAGATTTGATGAAGTTTTAGAAACATTACAGTAAATCTATGAAGGAGAGTTGTTGGTCAAGAAGAGAAGCATAATCCTGCAAATCCTCTAATCCTGTGAATCCTGATTCTGACAAATGGGGACTACACGTTTATGTGACAAAATCTAGTGAGAGTCAATGGGAGTGTTTTTGCTTGGGCATTTCTGCGGATTTCCCCCAGGAAACCTCGCCAGTGATGAGGAGTCGTTTAACTCCGTCACTTGCACTACCGGACTGACCAATGACAGTTCCTAACGAGTGCCATTTTGCTTGAGATGTCCCCAAACGGTTGCTAACTTTCCGCTCGCTTCAACTGCAAGAACCCCTGCAGCAAGGTCTGCAATCTCTCCGTCATCTAAGACTCTATCGTAAATACGTACATCGTCAATGAGTCCGCTCCATGAACGCCCTTGGTCCTTCTCACCTTTCCCTATGACCAATTTAGTGGCATCCGTCAACTTTCCTTTAGTCACTGGGCTGTTAAAAGTGGGTGTATCGAGTTCACCATCAATATACAGTGCCAGCTCGTTGCCACTGCTCCATGTCAACGCAAGGTGCTGCCAGGAATCCGTCTGCACATCGTTTGAACTCTCAAGTCGCTGGATCCCGCCTGTTGTGGTAATGCAGCTTTGACAACGTCATTACCTCCAGCTTCAAAACCGGCGGCATCATATCGTAATGACAGGACGGTATCATCGCCACCCGGGTCGCGTCCATCGATAAATCCCCGGTCAGATTTGAGTTTCAGCAGACTTAACCCAAACCGCAACAGTAATAGCGGTGAGTCCATTGATATAGTCTGCGCCGTTATCGTCTTCTGCACCATCGCCACCGCCATCAAATTCCAAGGCACCGCCAAGTTTTCCACCGTTGGGTTTCCACTGGATACCGTTCCCTTTAAGCGTTGCATCGTTCCCGTTTCCGCTTGAATCCGCGGCTGTTTTTCCGTCTGCCTCATCAAGGTTCCAATACCCAAGTAACCCATCTTTAAGACTCGCAACAGCGATAGAACTCAACGCAATAGAAACGATGAGGGTGAGAAATAACCCCTTAGTTACGTTCCGCATTTTAACTGACTCCTTTAACCTCTATCGGTTTTAGGTGGTTGTTCCATTTTCAATTGCTGTGGTTTCACATCCAATTACATCCAGAATTTATTGGCTGGATGACCGTCTCAGAATTGTTTGCTTTTTGAGTGACTCGTTTATGTGGACGATGTGCAGTGTCCTTTACAGTAAAATTCGCGTAATCCGATAAATCCGTGCAAATCCGCGATTCAGACAAAACGTGCATAACGACTACACCTAAATTATAGCATTGAATCCACGTTTTGTTAATCAAAAAAATAGGGCAGGCACAGTGACCTGCCCTACAATTTGTCTCGAGGTGTGCTTAGACGTTACAAACATCGTAAGCGTGTTGCATCGCATCGAACGCGTCCCCTTTGGGACCGAATTCATGTCCTACATAGAGGTCATATCCGGTGTTTACGATGGCGCGCATCACGGCAGGATAGTAAATCTCTTGCTCGTCGTCAAGGTCATGCCGTCCGGGGTTACCTGCGGTATGGTAATGCCCGATATAGTCACTATAATCCGTGATGTTACGAATCAGGTCGCCTTCCATGATCTGCATGTGGTAGATGTCGTAAAGCAATTGCGCTCGTGGTGAACCCACTCCTTTGCAAACCTCAACACCCCATGCCGTTGTGTCGCATTGATAATCTGGATGGTTGACTTTACTGTTGAGCAGTTCGACGCAGAGATTGATTCCTTTCTCCTCGGCGGCTTTGGTAACGCGTGACAAGCCTGCTATTGTATTGTCACGTCCCTCTTCTTCCGATCTGCCTTCTCGGTTTCCAGAGAAACAGATGAGTCCGGGGATGTCATTTTCCGCCGCGATGTCAATGTTCTTGAGGATTTCATCTTCAATCCGGTCGTGGTTGCTCGGATCGTTTAATCCGGACGGAAGTGAGCCGTGTCCTACGATAATAGCGACGCGCATCCCGTGGTCCTGGACGACCGACCAGTATTCTGCGGGTAGCATTTCAATGGATTTATAACCGATTTCAGCGGATTTCTTAATGACTTCTATTGGATCTCTGCCACGGCTGAAACCGCCAAAACAGATGGATTGATTAATTGGCATAATTCTCTCTTTCTTTAAGGTAACCCAAGTTGCGACTTACAAGATTTTAGGCATGCAGAGACCGTCTTTCATTGAAAGTGATGGATGCTCCGCAGGATATGGCAGCTTAGGTTATGGTAGTAGGCACGCTCCGTCGTGCCGTAACAACATAAATAAGGTAGTAGGCACGCCCCGTCGTGCTGTAACAACTATGGTAAAACCCACAATTACTTGGACATTGCGGGAGGCGAGGATACAATCCTCGCCAGCGGGGTAAATAAGGTAGTAGGCACGCTCCGTCGTGCCGTAACAACTTTCTACAGGTCTATTGCCTTACCCGTACGGAAGGAGGTACTCGCGGCGAGCATGATGCGGAGCGTCTCTAACGCATCGCTGTAAGGTGATAGAATTTGTGAGGCATCACCAGTCTTTACGGCATCAATAAAGACGCGATCACGATCCGCTCCACCACCGTTCGGAAGCGGTTCTGTCTCTCCAGCCCCGGTTCACTTCGTTCGAACCACCGACAGTGACAACGAGTCCACGCGTGAAAACTTCAAGATGCACGCGATTGACACCTTCCATCGCACAAGCCGAGACGATATTCGCGACAGCACCGTTCTTGAATTCGATGTTCACCATGCTGATGTCGTCTATGTCATAGTTCTCAATATGCGTCATACTACCGCTCGCGGCAACACCATGGACGGTCTTCCCATCGCTACCGACGAGAAACCGTGCCAAATCGAAGATGTGTGTTGTCTGTTCAACGTGTTGCCCGCCGGATTCTGCGCGGACGCGCCACCACGGTGTACCGGGCATCCCACCCATCCAATATCCGAGTGCGCCGAGAATTTGCGGTTGCTCTTCAAGCATCGCTTTGGCATTCTGCGCATTACCACCGTAACGCCAGTGATAACCCACACTCGTGATTACGCCGCTCTGTTCAACGTATTCATTGATGATAATCGCAGGTTCCAGCTCGGAATGGACCGGCTTCTCGATAAACATCGCGATGCCCTGTTCGCAAGCGATGCGTTCCTGTTCACCGTGGGCAAAGGGGGGTGTGCAGATATAAACCGCGTCCAAGTCCTCTTTGTCGTACATGGCGCGATAGTCGGTGTAAGCGTTTCCGCCGAATTCTTCGGCACGCTGTTTTGCCCGGTCTTCCGAGATGTCACACATTGCACAAAATTCAACATCCTCAAAGCCGTCTTTGAGGTTGCGCATGTGTGCGCTTGCCATACCGCCGGTTCCGATAAAACCGAGTTTCACTTTATCCATATTTTCTCCTTAAAATGGGTAATTACGGAAAATCCCTAAGTTTAACGGGTATAGTTTAGCAAATGCATCTGTTATATAGCAATAGATTTTTTTTGAAATTGTGCTATAATATTTTTAAACGGCTGTCAGAGGAATAGCAGTCAGCGGTCAGCAGTCAGCGGTCAGCAGGAAAACCGCTTTGCTGATAGCTGACCGCCGATAGTTCTCACTGCGAAGCAAGTCATTACTTCTGAAAGCTGAAAGCCGATAGCCGACAGTCGATAGCCAAAATAGGAGGAATAGCATGGGTTTCAAATTTGGATATAGTACATTACGCTGGCAGACACCAGACTTTGAAGAATTGTTGACGCAACTGAAGGATGCAGGATGGGACGGTTGGGAGATGCGGCAATCCTTGGACTGGGTAGGCACACCTCAACATATTCGACAGGTATGTAACAATACGGATTTACCTATCGCTGCTGTAACAGCACGCGGACTGCCGATCGACAAAGACACAGAACAGATGGAACTCAACAAACGGCGTATTGACTTCGCCGCAGAAGTTGAAGCCGACTGTTTCATGTTCATGGGTGCGGGAAAACCCCAAGACCGTCCAGTGAACAATTCAGATCTCGCCGCGCTCGCTGATGTCTCCGAGGCGTGGGCAGAATACGCCGCACAATACGGTTTGGAGGTCTGTTATCATATCCATACCAATACGACAGTGGACTCGATCGACGACTGGGCGAAATATATGAGCCTCCTCCGAAAGTGTAAATTGTGTATAGATGTATCACATTCCGCACTCTGGGGGTACGATCCGATTGAATCCATTCGACGTTATAGCGATGTCCTCGCCTACGTTCACCTGCAGGATTATTGTAGCGTAACCGGCGGCGATGATGACACACCTTACGATGTGGGTTGGGTAGATGTCGGTGCCGGCACTGTCATGGATTTTCCGGGTATCATGTCCACACTGGCGGAACTTAACTATGACCGGTGGGTTACGGCGTGTCCGGGACAGGTTGAAGAACGCTCGGATCTCGAACGCATGACGGTGAACCGTGAGTACCTGCACCAATTGGGCTATTAATCTGTGGCAGCGATCTCCACCTCGCAACAGGTTAAATCGAAGATCTAAAGATAACGTGAGTTCGACTTATGGTGGATTATGAACATAAATGGACATCTGAGGATAAATAGACATAGCACTCCGCTGGAGTGCGTTGGCTTCAATGCGATCTTCTATAGATATATCACACCTCTGGTGTGAGGAAGAGCACCTAAACGGACCTATAAACACATACGCGTAAGGCGTTGAAAGTGGGAGCACCAAAAATCGGTCTCCTTGCTCCAGCGGAGCAACATGTCTATAGAATATTGATTGTCAACCGACTGCACTCCAGCGGAGTGCTATGTATCTAAATCGTATTGACTCGCATTTGAGGAGAACCTTTTACCGAACTCAAGTTATAAAAATCAGGAGATCGAGTGTATGAACAAACCGGCGGAGGACATCCGCTCTATTCTTGCTACTGATTGTGGTAGCACAACAACGAAAGCAATTCTAATTGAGAAAAGGGGCGAGGAATACCAACTCATTGTACGTGGTGAGGCACCTACCACGGTTGAAGCACCTGTCGAGGATGTAACGGCGGGTGTTATCAATGCTATCACCGAAGTTGAAGAACTCGCAGGACGCAAACTCCTTGATAACGGTGTGATCCTCAAACCACAACGCGGGGATGAAGGGGTCGATATTACATATCAACGAGCAGTGCCGGTGGCGGACTTCAGATGATGGTAGCAGGCGTTGTACGCAACCTGACCGGTGAGAGCGCGGAGCGCGCAGCACTCGGTGCGGGGGCAATTGTTATGGATGTCATCGCTTCCAACGATAAACGCCTGCCACACGAAAAAATTGAACGTATCCGGCATCTACGTCCCGATATGTTGCTCCTATCCGGGGGTATTGACGGCGGGACAACCTCGCACGTCGTTGAATTGGCTGAGATTATCGCCGCTGCGCGTCCGAGACCCCGGTTGGGTATTGCTTATGAACTTCCGCTCATTTATGCTGGGAACATTGAAGCGCGCGAGTCAATTGCAGAACGCCTGCAGGACGTAATGGCACTGGAGATGGTGGATAACCTCCGTCCGGTTTTAGAGCGTGAAAACCTAATGCCGACGCGTCACAAGATTCAGGACCAATTCCTCGAACACGTTATGGCACACGCACCGGGTTACAGGAAACTCATCGACTGGACAGACGCCCCTATTATGCCGACCCCCGGAGCAGTCGGTGAGATAATTCAGACCGTCTCCGCACAACAGGGTATTGAAGTTATCGGTGTTGACATCGGTGGGGCAACGACGGATGTGTTTTCTGTCTTTAAAAACAAAGAAGGCGAACCTATCTTTAACCGCACTGTGAGTGCCAATCTCGGAATGAGTTATAGTGTTTCCAATGTCCTTGTTGAAGCAGGTTTAGAAAACGTCCTCCGTTGGGTGCCGTTTGATATTGAGGTCGGCGACCTCCGCAACCGAGTCAAAAACAAGATGATTCGTCCGACGACAATTCCACAGACCTTGCAAGAACTGATTCTTGAACAGGCGATCGCCCGTGAGGCACTCCGACTCGCTTTTGAACAACACAAACAACTCGCCGTGGAATTGCGCGGTGTCCAGCAGCAACGGACAATCTCTGAAGCCTTCGATCAAGCGGAAAGCGGTCAAACCCTTGTAGACATGTTCTCCTTAGATATGCTCGTCGGAAGCGGGGGCGTTTTGTCGCATGCCCCTCGCCGTCAGCAAGCCATGCTCATGATGATAGACGCTTTTCAGCCTGAAGGCATAACCCATCTCACTGTTGATAGCATCTTCATGATGCCGCAACTCGGTGTCTTGGCGCAGGTCAACCCAGAAGCCGCGACGCAGGTCTTTGAACGGGATTGCCTTATCCATTTAGGCACTGCGATTGCCCCGGTCGGTGTTGCAAAAGCAGGTGAAATCTGTCTCTCAATTGAAGTGCGTATCGCAGGCAACCCACCAATTATGGAAGATGTCCCTTACGGTGAACTCCGTCTCTATCCACTTCCGTTGGGAGAGAAGGCATCATTAAAACTCCAGCCTTCGCGAAGGTTTGATGTCGGCGCGGGGAATGGACAAACTGTTGAGGTAGAGGCGATGGGGGGTGTCGTTGGGTTGGTCGTTGATACTCGTGGTAGACCGTTTGAAGTGCCGACAGATGCACAGCAGCGCGTCGCGCAGCTGACCAAATGGCAGTCGGCTTTGGATGCTTATCCATAACTCTCTCATAACCTTGGTAGGTGCGGTTTCCCAACCTCGCCGCTTCTGTAGGAGGGATCTCCGAATCCCGACTCTTCATTGAAATCCTAAAGGAAACTACAATATTTTTTTCGTTACGGACTTGACAAATTTTCGTTAAAAATTTACAATGCCTAATAACACGTAACTTTCTGAGTGAATCCAAATTAGGTTCAAATTCACTCAATCTTTGGCAAAACAGACAGGTTTCCAAAGCCTGTTACTGCTTTACGAATTATCTATCTATAAGGAGATAAACTACAATGAGAAAGTTTTATCAATTCGCGCTCGCGACAGCGATTGTGTTCGCGCTGGCTGTGAGCCTCTCGCACCTTGCGTTCGCACAAAAAGTCAATATTAAAGATGGTCCTCTAAAAGAGAAGGATTGGTTAACGGATCCAGGCCCAGAACTGAATGAAGATCATTCAGATAACAAAAACTGGATCACGAAGTATTACGGACCCGATGGGAACTACGAAGTCAACGGTGGGTTCGCGGCTTCTGCTCCAAAAGACCTTATCGACGAAGGCACCAAGGGTAAACTGACGCAGGAATCTCTTTCGACGATTGATGGTTTGAAACTGACGCAAACCGTTGATGTCGAATGGGGTAAGGCGAATGGGGGACCGCGGGGATGGGAAGTCTTTGAAATTGACCCTGCGGACTCACACCACATGAACAGAGATGGTCCCGCAGATAACATTGATACCTACGGTATTATTGTTATTAAGGCTCCCCAGGCAATGAAAGCCGTGATGTCTCCAGCGCATGATGACCATGCACAGATCTGGATTAACGGCGAAAAATGGTACAACAATTCTCGTTGGACGGGTGCTCCCCTACAGGTGGACTTTAATGTTGAGATTGAATTGCAAAAGGGCGGGAATATCCTCGTTTACCGGTGTGGTGAATCCGGTGGTGATGCGTATATGAACTTGCACTTTGACAATAAAACGCATGACACTGTTGACATCTATCCCGACAAAGCGAAAGACCAGAAGAGCTTTTTCGATGAAGCCCGTGGTGCACTCGCTGTTGATCCCGTCGGAAAATTGGCAACTACTTGGGCAGATATTAAACGCAAATAGAACACCTCACAGTTTCTATAGGCGTGTCTCCTAAGTACATCTATACGCATGGCGAATTGTTGTACGACCGTGTGCAGCAATTCGCCATATTTTTTCAGTTTGTTCCTATATGGTAGGTGTGGTTTTGCGGCGTACTCGCCCCGACGACTCTCACTGCGAGGCAATACGCGCACTCGGCGTTGATTCATGCGATATGCATTCCCAACTGCATCTGTAGGAGCGATCTCCGAATCCAGACTCTTGACTGACCGCTGACTGCCAATCTGTGGGAGCGATCTCCTGATCGCGACTCTCTGACAACTAACGACTGGCAGCTTTGTAGAAGAAATTTCCAAATCCCAACTTTTCTCTTGACAAATTTCGGTATAAATGTTAGGGTGATTAATTGTAACGTTGGACTGTGCCAACATTGCATACCCTATAAGAGAATCTGGGTTATACTGCCGTTTAACCCAGTATTTTCAACTATTCATTCAGAAAGAAGGAGATAAAAATGAAAAGAATGTATCAATTTACACTTGCGACGGCAATTATATTTGCGCTGGTTTTGAGCATCTCATCTCTCGCATTCGCACAGAAGCACAAAGTCAATATCAAAGGCGGTCCTTTGAAAGAGAAGGACTGGCTGGCGGAAGCCCCCGGCGCAGAGTTGGGAGAAGACCATTCCAATGTTAAAACATGGATCAGTAAGTGGTACGGTCCCGAGGGCAACTATGAAAACAATGGATCCTTCCAAGTTTCCTCGAAAAGAGACCTTATTGATGAAGGTACCAAGGGTAAACTGACGGAACCCAAACTTTCGACGGTTGAAGGTTTGAAACTGACGCAGACCGTTAAAATGGCTTGGGATAAGAAGAACGGTGGTACGCGAGAGTGGACTGTCTTTGAACTTGAGGTCGCGAACGACAACAATATGAACCGGGACGGTCCTGGAGATAACATTGATACATACGTTATGTGTGTTATTGACGCACCCAAGGACATGACATCCGTAATGTCACCGGCACACGATGATTACGCACAGATTTGGATCAACGGTGATAAATGGTACAACGATGCTACGTGGACAGGTGGCGCGAAGAAAGTTCACTACAACATCGAAGTCAAGTTGACGAAAGGCGCGAATGTCCTCCTTTACCGGGTTGGCGAGTCCGGCGGTGCCGCATACATCAATTTGCACTTTGATGCTGCGACCCACAAAGCTGTCAAAATCTATCCTGACAAGGCGAAAGACCAGAAAAGTTTCTTCGATGAGGTTCGTGGTGTTCTGCCAGTTGATCCGACCGGAAAGGCGACAACAACTTGGGCAGATATTAAGCGGAATCGTTAGTTAAACCAAAGCCCTTGTCTCCCCTTCTATGGCAAGGGCTTTTTCTTGATCTCTTACCTCTTACGGTTGCGGTTTAGATGGGTGATGATAAAACCTAAATGGTAGGAAAATTGAAAGGTTCTGTATTGTCTGATAGTTCTCTTGACAAATTTCTCTTTAGATATTATAATATATTGTAATGTTGGATGCAATTTCAACGTTTATAACCCATTAAAGAATCTTAGGAGGCACCATAGTGCCGCCTAATCACTTTAGTTTTTAATCTCTAAAAAAGGATATAGAATGAAAAGATTTTACACTTTAACGCTCACAATCGCGATTGTATTCACACTCATTGTTAGTGGTTCACAGCTTGTATTTGCACAGGCGAACGCGATCTCCGGTGGTCCTCTGGGGGAAGACGCACTCTTAGAAGATCCAGAGCCCAATGCTGACGGCCTTAGACAAGATGATAGTGCCGTAGAAACATGGATCAGTAAGTGGTACGGTCCCGAGGGCAACTATGAAAACAATGGAACCTTCCAAGTTTCAGGTTCAATGGACTTCATCGAGGAAGGGAGCGGCGGTAAACTGACGCAAGCCTCGCTTTCAATGCTTGAAGGCCTGCTCATGACCAAAGATATTGATATGGAATGGGGAGACGACCACGGCGGCACACGTGCGTGGACGGTCTTTGAACTTGATGTCGCGGACGACAACAATATGAACCGCGGCGGTCCCGCTGATAATATCGATACTTATGTTATGTGCGTTATTGATTCTCCGAACGATATGACAGCTGTAATGTCACCAGCACATGATGATTGGGCGCAGATCTGGATTAACGGTGAAAAGTGGTACAATAATACCAGGTGGACAGGGGCCGCACGAACGATTCTTCACACCGTTGAAGTTGAATTGCAAAAAGGTGCCAACGTTCTCCTTTACCGGTGTGGTGAGTCTGGCGGTGCTGCCTATCTCAACTTGCATTTTGACGATGCAACGCACAATGCTGTTACAATCTATCCCCAAGATGCAACCGATAAGCAGAGCTTCTTCGATGAAATCCAACCGCTGGTTGTCTCCGTCGAACCCACTGGGAAATTGACAACAACTTGGGCGGACATCAAACGGCAATAGATACGCTTTATTATTTTTGTGGGTATGTTTTCAAGCACATCCGCACACATGGCGAATTGTCGCACTCTCGTGTACGGCAATTCGCCATGTTTTTTGCATCACCATTCTGTTGTCTTCTACAGAAAAACTGAATGCTTCTGGACAACTATTCGCAATTGCTTGCAAATACCGAAAAATATCTGCTATAATAAAACGATGTGGAACAAGATGCTCTGTTGCTCGTTTACGACTGTTTTCGTTGTTGTCCTCGTCGGATGGATAGGCGGTTGGACCCGATCCATGAATGCCGGGAACGAAGCGTATTCGCGCGGAAACTACGACGAAGCACAATCCGCTTTTCAACAGGCAACGCTTGATAAGCCTGATAACCCGATCGCACACTATAACTTGGGGACTGCGCTCTATAGACAGGGTAAATTTAGAGAGGCAACACGGGCATTTCAGGTATCACTCTTAAGGCACTCCGAACAAACTGAAGATATCCTCAACCGATCAAGTACCTTGTATAACTTAGGAAACGCCCAATTTAAAGTCGGTGACCTCACAGGCGCGATTGCGTCTTACGAGCAAGCACTCCGCTTGGACCCTCAAGATGCGAATGCACAACATAACCTTGCCCTGGCACTTCAACTCTTAAGACAGCAGGAAGACCTCGCACAACAGCAGGCGAATAAAAGCACTGCACCGAAAACCGAGCCGAACGACATTGGCAGAGCGGAAGCACTTCGGCTCTTGGAACGTTTCAGTGAGAATGAAAATAGGCTACGTCAAAAATTACTACAACAACAGCGCAAAAGCGGATATCGGCGTGAAAAGGATTGGTAAACTTCAGAGGATGGAAAGATGGAAGGATGGAAGGATAGAAGGATGAGGTTCCCAATCTTCCAATCTTTCAGTCTTCCAATCTTTTTCGTTGGCATCGTTTTCATCTTTCTCGCAACAGCGGCACAAAGTCAGGAGATTAATGTCGCTGCCGTGGTGCGTCCTCGTCATATTCAATTTGGGGAGAAGGCGAGGCTGGACCTCACAATTTCAGGGGAAACCTTCATCAAGCATATTGAAGCACCGCAGTTCAATTTCCTACCGGCGTTCCTTGCGGTGCCGCTGCATTCCGAAACGACACCACGGTTAGAAGCAAACAAAATAGCGGTTTCTATGGCGTGGGCTTATGAACTCATTCCGCAAGCTATCGGCGATTTCACACTATCCGATATCCGTTTTGCATATCAAGGCACACCGTATTTCGCAAATCCAGGGTTCAATCCGGGTGAGTGGTACCGACACCTATGTAGATACCTCAACCAACGCTGTTCACCAAATTGAAGCAGAGGTCGATGCATCCAAACCGTATCTCAAGTCACCTCTGACCTACACCTTCCGCTACCTCTATACGACTGTACTTCCGACTCGAGAATCCCCAACCCCTTTACTCCCGTCCCTCACCGGTTTCAGGGTTGAAGAAATATCAACACTGCCATCTCAAACGCGGCAGATCCGCGGGAAGACCTATTGGGTTGAAGAGCATGTCCGCAAGTTATATCCACAGAGAACAGGGCAGATTGTGATTGAACCCGCCGAACTTGTTCTCCCGCTGCGCAGTGGACGCAAAACGTTGAAAGCGAAACCCCTGAAGTTGACTGTACAACCGCTACCGGAGGCTGGTAAACCGCAGCATTTCAGTGGTGCTATTGGTGAATACCAAATCTCGGCACAGATCGAGCGTGGCTGGGTAGAAGCTGGGAAGTGCCTTAACATTATCCGTACGTGTCTCTGGACGTGGCAACATGAAAACGGTCACGGCTCCCAAGCTCCCACCAATACCGGGGGTTATTGTGAACGGACCCAATCTTACTGAAGATTCCACATCAACAAGCTTGGCTTACACCTACACCCTGATCCCCTCTCAAAGAGGAGTCTTACGCATCCCCGCGATCGAATACACCTACTTCGATCCGAGCCGTGCGGTTTACGCAACGACACAAACGGCACCCATCCCTGTCTCTGTCCGTCCTAATCCGAACGAGACAGCTGAAGAGGAGACCGGTAGTTCACCGTGGTTACTCTGGTTAATCCTGTTGGCGATTCTGATAGTGGCGTTGGGAATAGGAGGGTATCTCTGGTACCGCGTCGGGTTTGTGATACCTACGCGAAGGAAGCCAAATGCCGAGACCGGAACGGATACACTCGAACGGGGAGGACTCAGAAAGCGAAACACACAGGGGACCGAGACAGAACCGATAACACCCGCTTCACAAGCACGTGAGGCACTTGAAGGACTCACACATAGCGACACCACAGAAAATGCAACGACATTCGCCAACGCACTCGCACAAACGCTCTATCAATATCTTGAGGGGACACTCGCCTTGTCACAACGGAATATCGACACAGCACGCGAGGTATGCACGCACGCCGGAATCTCCGAGCCTGTTCTTGACGGGCTTATTGATCTTCTCACGAAGTGTGATTACCACCGATTCGCGCCTGTGCCACTGTCTACGGACGAACGAGACGCATTGATCGCCCGCGCCGAGGCAGTTATCAACGATATAGAAAACCTTCAGAACGCTCACGACGCGTAGATGCGAATTTACACGTAGGTTGGGTTGCGCTTAACGAAAGCCAACAATTCTTGCCTTCCACAGATAGATACGCATCTCAACAAAAAGATAAAGCCCCAGCGGTTCTCACTGCGAAGCAATCTATGTAGAAAAAAGGAGTCATAAAAAAATGGATATATTCTCACTCTTCGTTCTTTGGCTACACGTTATCGCCGCTGTCGTATGGGTCGGCGGCAATCTGATTTTAGCGATGGTGATCGTTCCTCATTTCAGACAGAGCCTGCCACCTGTCCAGCGCATCCAGCTCTTGACACAGATAGGCAAACGTTTTGAACCCATCGTATGGGGCTGTATCGGCGTACTCTTTTTCACCGGTATCGTCAATATCTTCTTGGCAGTGGATCTCACCTCTTCCACTGCGATTTCCAACGCGTTTATGCGGACGCTCCTGATCAAAATTGTGCTTTTCTTCGTGCTGGTTATCCTCACGGCGTTGCACAGTATGATTTTTGCACCCCGACTCGCAGCCGCAATCGAGACATTAGATCCCACAATTGAGGAACTCCCACCGGAGGTGAAACCCCTCCGTTCCCAGATGTCAATAGTATCGAGCCTGATAGGAGTCGTATCGCTACTCATCCTACTCGCCGCGGTCGCCCTTCGGATGGGAATATAAACCATTTCTTTGTAGGAGGGAACTCCGATTCCCGACATTTGACCGTCTTTCCTGTAAGAGCGGGCTGTGCTCGCGATTCTCATAAGGGCAGGCACAAGACCTGCCCCTACTGCTGACAGCCGACAGCCATTCTATGGTGAATTATAAAAATAAATAGACATCTTGTAGGGGCATCCCTTGTGGGTGCCGCAAACTCACCGTTCACACTGTCCAATTAATTCTAAAATCTACCATAAATGGAGATAGCCGAATGCGCATCCAAATCCTCGCCGACGTTGGCGACGGAATTACCCTCCCGATCAACTATAACTACCAACTCGCCGGTGTCATCTACCGGTTCCTCGCCGAATCCGACCCCGAATACGCCTCCTTCCTACACAACGAAGGCTACGCGGCGGCAGAGAAACGTTTCAAGCTCTTCACCTTCTCGCAACTCATGGCGGAACGCAGACGCATCACCGGTGAGAAGATCCATTTCGGTTCAACGTTGACGTGGTACGTTTCCTCTCCAGTCGAACAGTTCTTATCCCATTTTGCGGATACCCTGTTGACCGAGGGGAGATTATCCATCGGTCAGCACGAATTGCGAATCAGAGATGTGACGGTGCCGCGTATCCCTCGCTTTCAGTCAGAAATGCACTTCCGATGCCTCTCTCCGATCGTGATGACCACTGTACGTGAGTGGGCCGGGAAACAGGCAATGCACTACTGTCTACCCGACGATCCAGAACTCTCTGACCTCATCCGTCAGAACCTGATTCGCAAACATGAAGCAATCCACGGTAGCGTACCCCATGACGACACATTGGCGTTCGCCTTTGATAATGACTATATCGACAGACGACAAGGACGTGTCACCCGCCTTGCAGACTACAAGGGAATCAAGATTCGTGGCGTGATGTGTCCATTCCATGTTTCTGGGAGTGTCGCGTTGATCCAGACCGGCTACGAATGCGGTTTCGGCGACAAAAACAGCGCTGGCTTCGGCATGGTAGAAGTCTAAACACATTTTACCTTGACTTAATTTAATAAGTTTTTGTATAATATATTTATAACGTTTTTGAAAGGAGGTAAATATTATGGAAAGCCAACAGTTGGAATTGGATTTGAGCGGAAGCTTGTCGTTAGTCATAGAACTCACTGGAAACCCGTGGACAGATTTCGGAATTGTGAGTTTCTGCCAGGAGTTGACCAACGCTTATTTTCCTAACACGTTAGAACTGACACCACATCATGCACATATCACAATTGATGCAACGGATATGGATCGGATTACCGAGTGGTTAAATCAGCGTTTACGAGAAAGATGGAACAGACTCTATTGGTTCAGCCGCGGTGCAAAAATTCTCGGACGCACTGGTTTAAGTGCGTTAACGTATGATAACGATGACTTCGTGGATTACGATAAATCAGTCATACAAATTACTGAAGATGAGAGTGCCGAAATAAAGGAAAAGTGGAAAGGCAGCACTCTTAAAGATAAGTTGACTCTCACGCAGGTGCGGTTTAATTTTATCGGCATACGTAATAATGCTGAAACCTTCAAAAAAGGGCAGGCGGATAATATTCGAGATTTCATCCAAGATTGGACAGGAGCCGCCGGAAAAAAGGTTTGCGAGGTGTCTGGGTACCCCACCACCAAACCGAAAAAACTGCTTCAAGTGGTGAATCCATTCGCAAACAAGCATCACAACACGAAAGTGCGCGGCGTGTTTAACAACAGCGCGAACCCGAATGTCGGTGGAGTCTACTATCTGATTAATATGTACGCGACGTTTGATGAAAATATACCGTTTGTCTACGAACCAGGTAGTCAGAGAGTTTGCTTGATTCTCCCGGAGATTCCCAACCTTGAAATTCTCAGCAGAGTCTATAGTCGGTTACATGAAAATCTCAGAGACGACTTGAGGGGATCGGAACTCTATCCTTATACAAACTTGCGCGGCAGGATTCAGGTGTCTAACCGCTATGCGTTAGTACTCTCACTGTTTCATAATATCTTCTATGAATTTAGAGGCCTTCAACCCGTTGCGGATGACATCCTTGGCGATGAATGGAATTTTTCATCAACCCTGGCGGATCCTGATAAACTCACCCGTTGGATTATTATTCCGTTTACCAAGGGCCAAAACGTCATCTTTCAAAATTTCCATACGGTTGATGTCGATGCGCGGTTATACGACTTCATAAAACCGATCCCCTTCGAGCAAAACGAAATCCAGTTGGTTCCGAACATTCTCGCTCGGATGAGACCTAAAATGAAATCACCTGATGGTGATAACGCGCTTGGACAGTTGAGCCAAGCGATCGCGACAAGCACACCTTCTCTTATGAAGCTTGCACTATTCAACCTGTGGAAACATACGGATGCTGTTCTGATTTCTCCACAACCAGACGCACCACATCCTGTCCGTCAACTCCGAATTTTTATTAATCACTTTTTGGAGGTAAACCAAATGCTTGATGAAAAATTGCGCGACGACTTGCGTGCCTTCGGCACCACAATTGGACGCACCTTTTGCAAGGATGTCACACTCATTAGTAAACTGTTCAACATCTCCAGCGTCAACGCCTTCCGAGAAGCACTCAATACCGTTATGTTCCGCTTCTACAAGAAATTTAACACCAGTAGTGAACTAAAGGAAGCCATCCCGATAAAGGAGGAGCGTGTTGACAACATTCTAACGAGTCTCACGGAAGTTAACTGCAAAGAAATCGCGGAAACCCTTTCTATCTACGTGAGTCTTTCCGCATACAACACCAAAATTTTTGGCGCGAAATCTAACACGCAAGGAGGACAAAATGACTAATGCTTCAACTTCTCTGAAAGGGGTGGCAATCGTTTGGCTCAGCAAGACAGACTTGAGTAACCTCAACGCCGGTGAAGGCGGCGGCGGTAACGTTACCGAACTAAAGACCTACGATAACGGACGCAAACCTTATGCCTCTGGACAATCGGTACGACACGCGCTACGTGAAGCCATCCAGCGGAATCACCCAGGCGTGTTTCGTTGCGTCCCTGAGGCCCCCTGCACGGAAGTAGATGAGTGCTGGCTTTGTGACTTGTTCGGATTTCTCAATCCGAAATCAGGGCAGGGATTTGACCGGCGTTGGTCACCCATTAAAGCGACACCTGCGCTCGGGCAAACCGTCAGCGGTATCGTCACGGATCTCCTTATTCGCATGAGCGACAAAGAAAAGGAGGATACGCAGACTGCCGACCAACGTATCGCTTATGTCCAAATGATGGCGAATATCTATCGCGTCGGGTTATCTCTGGATGTCGCAAATGTCGGTAAGGTAATTACCCCGAAGTATGAGGGTAAGGGGAAAAATGCACAATTCGCTGGCTGGGAAACCACGGTGGACATCCAACCTGCAGAAAAGGCAGAACGGGCAGCAGCTGTGTTAGACGCTATCGGCGGTATCGCAGACTTCGCAAAACAAGCACGTAATGCTGTCTCGCTCGCCCCCGACATTTTCATCGCATCTACTCATACCCGTTACTCACATAGAACCTTGCGAGCCTTAGAACTCGACGATGAGGGCAATGTAAACACGGAGACGCTTGAAGTTGTCTTGCAAGATTTGCAAGACGATGACGCGCAACTTTTTTGTGGATACACACCCGGTGTTTTGAAAAACGACGAGGCATTCAAAACGCTCTTAAGTGAATTTAGAATCGAGGCACCAAATCCACTCCGCGCACTAAAAGCACTCACTGCACATGTCCGAGAAGCACTGGTGCAATAAACTAACGCAGACGGACTTCTGCAAGAAGTCCGTCTCTATAACGGAGGATGTTATGGAAAAAATACTGACTTTCGGTCTCATCTCTCCTTTTTGGGCATCCTTTCGGCAACCACAAGCCGTTAATGTTCATGCTACTTATCCATTTCCACCGCCAACTACACTTTACGGTATGTTGAATGCAGCGAGAGGGAAACCGCAAGATTGGTGTGAGGATCGAGACGCGTGGCAGCTTTCGATCGTCATAGAGACAAACGGCAAACTTCTTGAAACCTTCAGTAAGATTTTCAAATCCGCCCGGGAGGCAGGTCCCGTATTTGAAAGGACGATATTGATTCGCCAAAAATTGCTAAAAGCCCACTACATTGTCTACCTGAAAGCTGATGACATGTTGCTCATTGAGGCACTGGAAGCACTCAGGGCACCGCATTGGCCCCTCTATCTCGGTGAATCAGACGATCTCGTAGATGTTATCAACCCGAGGATCGTTGAAACACAACTGAGCGAAGTTACATCCGTGCATTCTATTATCCCAGGTTTTGTAGAAGGCTGCCAATTAGTAAACATGCCTAACCACTATACCGAAGCGACAAGGGGGCAATGGCAGATGCAACGGCAAATTTATTCTATACCACCACAAGGTCAAGCCCTCTCGCTTACCGAATCGCGAATCGCCTATTCAATTGAAGGAAGGAACATCATTTTCAATGAAAATACTCGCTAAACCGAATCAAACTTTGCGCGGACATACGGAGGATTGTTTGGCGGTTTGTGACGCGATTATCGCTCAGCGCCAACATTTTCTACGCCAATTCTGTCTGCGATATAATTGGGATTGGACAGAAGTAAGACAGGCACTCCGCTTTGCTGTGTGGTGTCATGACATTGGGAAAGCCTCAGACAAATGGCAGGCTTATATCCGAGGACGGGGTCGGAGAATTACACACGCACTTCCCTCTTTCGGTATAGGGCTTATAGTAGGACGTGTGCCTCGAGGCTTTGACAGTCGTCCGCGTTACGCTGCACTCTTGGCTGTGCTTGCCCACCACGGACAACTTCATAAAGACATCTTCCGAGAAGAAAATTTTCAGTGGGCAGCTGTTACATTGCCTGTTGGCTACATCAACACGCATTTTGACCGTTTCTGCCAACTGGAGCCAAGTTTCGACTTCAAACCTTGGGAAAAAGAATCTATGCAACTCCGATGGGCTTGTCAAGTAGTTGATCACTTGAAAAGGGAGATTAAGGATAAAAGCGATATAAAATTCAAGGCACTTTATGCCCTCATGCTTAATGTGCTGACAGCCGCTGATGGTTACGCAAGTGGCAATGCCCCGGAAGACGGCAACGCTGAAACCCCAAGAGGCGTGAACCTACACCCGCAAGAGCTTGTTCATATTCAAAACCGATTCCCGCTCTACGACAACATACCCCTGAAAACGGTATCTTTTGTTCCAAAGCCGAATGATATGCAAAGCGAAATCGTTAGACACGCATCGGAACGCGTAATTTTGAACGCTGGATGTGGTGAAGGGAAAACCGCCGCCGCACTCCTTTTTGCACAAAAATTGCTAAAGCAAAACCGTATTGACCGAATTATCTTCACATTACCCACCAAATTTACCGCAAATAATCTCAGCAGGGACTTAACCGAAAAGTACGCGATCGCAGAAGAACTCATTGGAATCACACATGGTGACGCTTCTGAATTCCTTCGGCAAAGGCTACATGAAACCGAAAACCAACAGACGGAACAAGAAATCGACGAAGACGAAATTGAAAACCTTGTAATGGCACAAGTTTTTGAAAATGGCATCTACGCGAAACCAATAACTATTTCCACAGTAGATCATCTGATTATGAGTCTCTACCACGGTTATAAATTTGCAGATAGAGCCTTCTCTAATGTTGCCTCCTCATTAGTGGTTTTCGATGAAGTCCATTATTATGAAAAGCATACTTTGGGGGCAATCGCTGAAACGCTGCGTAGATTAACTGAATTGCAAATTCCGCATATTGTTATGACAGCCACCTTTCCGCATATTGTTCATAAAGAACTGGATGAACTTGTACCAAATCAACCATATAGTTTCCAACGCGCCCCAGCAGTTATCCAAGGAACTTCAAAACCCAAAACTCCATTTGAAATTGAGAGGTTAACGGATACCTTCGTTGATGAAAACGATAACTCCTTTTCACATGAGCTGCTGGAGCTTGTTAGACGAAACGTTGATCGAAAACAGATCATTTTTGTCAACCAAGTTGAACGTGTCAAGTACATTTATCAGAGCTTAAAAAAATCGAATATTACCGAAAATGTAATCTGTTATCATTCGGGTTTCATTAGTAAACACCGAAACGAAAAAGAAAAAATTATACGTGCCCTTTTCAAGTCTCCGAAAGACCGAAAGCCAGAGGAAGTTAAGGCATTAGAACGCCGTGATTTTCACAATACTGACCCCTGCATACTTGTGTCTACTCAAGTCAGCGAACTTAGCTTAGACATTAGCGCGGATGTCATGTACTCAGAGATCGCACCTATTGATTCAATTGTCCAGCGAGGAGGCAGACTCCACCGAAAAGGAGAGATTCCACATCGTGATGGTGATGTTTATGTTTATCGAATGTACATTGCTCCACCTTACGAGAACGACAGAGCCTGTCTACCTTACGAACGAGAGATTTTACAACGTTCATGGGAAGTCCTTGGGCAGTTTTATACTTTTCAAAATGCGTGTGATTGGGTGAATGTTGTATACACAGAAAGTTCTTTGCTTATGCACTCCGAACTTGCAATAGCTATTGACACAGATATAGTATTTGGCAAAAAACCACAAGATAATTATGGTGAAGATGTTGAGGAAGAAGGACGTGTGGTTATCCGAAAGAAGAATTACCAAACTTATGATGTTGTTCCTTACGAATTTGTTGAAATGGTTGAAGAGGATTATCGAAATTACAAGGCACACTACCTCAGCGTTTCAGAGTGGATTTTTCGCAGTGCCTTCCGGCAAAATAAGATTTCACAAGGAAAAGCAACTCAAAAATTGAAGAACCGCCAAGGACAAACACGAGAGATACCAATTCCCTTTAAAACAATTCAAGCCGACTACACCTTTGATGTTGGGCTTGATCAGGAGGCTATCATAAACGCATCGAAAAATTATCACCGAAATCCTTGACAATGAGAAACATCCAAAAATAAGAACCTTTGACATACTCATCAAGTTCATAGCACGTTCATAAGGGGAAAAATAGCAATCGAATGTAGATTAGGGTTGGGGTTTATGATAAATCCGAGAAATATACTAAACTTTGGGCAATTTTAAGAGTGTCTGTGGGGTTTATTATGGTAATTTTCACAAAACCTTTTAATCGAACCAGTATGGAATCGAAACACAATCAGTTTCCTCCATGAACCCGGCGAACGCCGCTTCTTTTAATCGAACCAGTATGGAATCGAAACACAATCAGTTTCCTCCATGAACCCGGTGAACGCCGTTTCTCGCTAAGTCTGGACCTCGCTGAAATTTTCAAACCTCTCATCATCGATCGGATTATCTTCCGTTTGTTCAATCGTCGGCAGCTCGACGAGTCAAAACATTTTGAGACAAGTATCGATGGGTGTTATCTCAATGAAAAAGGGCGTAAACTATTCATCGCCGCATTTGATGAACAACTCAAGCAGACTGTTTCCCATCGCAAATTGAAACGCCACGTCTCCTATCAGCGGCTCATTCGCTTAGAGTGCTATAAACTCATCAAACACCTTGTTGAAATGGAACCCTATCAAGCACTTCGCCCCTGGTGGTAGATATTGCATCGTTCGCTGGCGAGGTTTCTAATCTCGCCCTTGCACTATTTTCACAAGGAGTCATCCACGATGTACATCATTCTCGTCTACGATATTCAAGTTGCGCGTGTCGCAAAGGTTTGTAAGTACCTCCGCCAACATCTCAATTGGATCCAGAACTCGGTTTTTGAGGGACAGTTAACCAAAGCGCAGCTCGCACGCGTCAAGTCAGGGTTAGCAGCACTTACTAACCCTGAATATGACTCTATCATTATTTATCAATTGCGGGATGCACGCTGGATGAATAAAGAGGTTATGGGAGTAGATAAAAACCCCGCAACGAACCTACTCTAAGTGAACTCCTTGCGGAATCTATACTTAAAGTCTGCTGTCGACCCTAATCAAATAGGTATTTTGGGAGGGATCTGGGTTGCTATTTCTGGGTAGAAAGGTGAGTAAACCCACGTTCCATCAACAGCCGTCAACCTCCCAGTGAATTTACACGACTGTAGGTCGACAGCAACGCCACCTTAAAAACGACAATCATGAAAATCGTCTTGACACGTCCCGTAAGGATCGCGTATAATATAGCTACGGTTTTCATAAAGCTTTAATCGAACCAGTATGGAATTGAAACCAGCATACAACAAAGTTATATGAAACCCCTCACCTACTTTTAATCGAACCAGTATGGAATTGAAACTAAGTTCTATAGTGTAATCTTCTTGGATCGGACTGACTTTTAATCGAACCAGTATGGAATTGAAACTCAGGATGCGCCTTGCGATAATCATAAATATCCTGCTTTTAATCGAACCAGTATGGAATTGAAACCGTCAAGTAGTCATCTGCTCTTTGTCATTTTGAAAACTTTAAATCGAACCCGTATGGAATTGAAACCTTATCGCCATGCGTAAAGCGGAACGGGTATTCACTTTAATCGAACCAGTATGAATTTGAAACGAAGTTTCAGAAGTTCAGGAAAGTTGAACACGGTTTGACTTTTAATCGAACCAGTATGGAATTGAAACCTTTGTTCAAGTTGTACGCCAGATGGCTTGGTCTTTAATCGAACCAGTATGGAATTGAAACTGTGGGAGTCGTCAGTTTCTGTGTGAACCGGTGCTTTTAATCGAACCAGTATGGAATTGAACATCGTTACGAGACCACGATTACGTTAGGGGTATAAACTTTCATGTCGAACCACGCTATTGGAATTGAAAAACTGTTCGGTGGGTCTCGTTGAGGTCGTTTGCGACGGAAAATCCTTTTAATTCGAACCCAGTATGAAATTGAAACATGGGTCCAAACTTGAAGTCACACCGGAACCGGACACCCTTGAATCGAACCAGTATGGAATTGAACAGTATAGGCAAACGGGATCATTGGGAATTTGAACACCTTTCTTTAATCGAACCAGTATGGCATTGGAGTGATAGCACGACTCCGCAGAAACTCTGCGGCCTCGGCTTTTAAGTTTTCGAAACACCAGTATGGAATTGAAACTAGTGCAGCCATGCTACAGCTTTCGCTCCGATTCCGCCTTTAACGAACAGTATGGAATGTTGAACGAAACTCATGCCTTTTTCATGAGAGAGGTATTTGACTCTTAATCGAACCAGTATGGAATTGACAACACGTACGATGATATTTGATGTGAGCAGTGGACTGATGACAACAGCTTTTAATCGAAACCCAGTATGGATGGAATTGAAACCCCGGACACGTTCTTTGTCTAATTCCGCTGGACATAGGCTTTTAATCGAACCAGTATGGAAGTGAACCTTTACTATCGGCGAGGGGCAGAGGACGGCAGATGGTCTTTTAATCGAACCAGTATGGAATTGAAACATATCATCAGTCATTGTGTGAGCCAATGCATTTTAATTCGAACCAGTATGAATTGAAACATCAACAACTCACTTGCTGGACAGTGATATTTGTTTTAAATTGAACCAGTATGGAATGCACCCCTTATTGAGGTAAAAGCATGACATTACAAGATTGCCTTGTAATTCGAACAGTAGGAATTGAACTACATCTAATCAACTCCCATTCGCTCCACATGCTATATTTTAATTTCGAACCCAGTATGGGATTGAAACAAGCCTCTCAAATGGATAAGGAATAAGGGGACACATGCGGCCTTTTATCGAACCAGTATGGAATTGAAAACGTGGACTACAGCAAGAAAACATATCGGTTAGAGGTTTCACTGTTTAATCGAACCAGTATGGAATTGAAACTGAGTCAATTAGATGATGCGTTTGAGCATTAACTTTTAATCAACCAGTATGAATTGAAACTTTAAAGAGATTGCGCAGCGAATACTTGACATCTTTTAATTCGAACCAGTATGGAAATTGAACCCATTATCTGATCAGCGTTGAGAGCAAACGCGCTCGCTTTTAAGTGCGAACAGTATGGAATTGGAAAATATAAGAGGGAAACTTCCCTGCTGTCACTTTCGGCTTAATCGAACCGAGGCAATTGAAACCTGCCTCATCTGGGATATCTTTTGATTAACGCTCCTTTTAATCGGAACATATGGAATGGAAACTTGTTGAAGGGCGGATATGCTCAACAGACGTTTGGATTTTTAATCGAACCAGTATGGAATGGAAACGCCGCAGCGTTGCCGGGGGGTCGAAGCATGACACAGCTTGTTATCGAACCCCAGTATGGATTGAAACGGGTTTCAAGGAAATTCCGGTAACGCCCACAAGCCGTGATAGCTTTTAATCGAACCAGTATGGAATTGAACATAGAGTCGATATGTTACTAGTCCATGTAAATCCTCTTTAATTCAACCAGTATGAATGAAACATTCAACAAGGAATTTCGAGGGCGCGCTGTCGATTCCCTTTTAATTCGAACAGTGATAGGAATTGTAAAATAGTGTGCTTTTGTCCGTTAGTGTCGTCATCTTCGAGACTTTTATTATCGTAAACCCAGTATGGAATTTTGAACACCTTTAATCAAAACGGGGTTCTGCTTCTTGTGCTATCATTTTATGCGAACCAGTATGGAATTGCACTTGTCAGTGTTCGGCGAATCGAAATGGCTTTTTTGGCATGACCATCGGTCTTTTAATCGGAACCCAGTATGAATGAAACTTGCGACTTGTCTTGAAGTTCTATGCCTCGCTTCGACTTTTAATCGCACCGGATGATTGAAAACTGCAAAGAACGCCTAAGCTAGGCGGATAGTCATTTAGGTTTAATCGAACCATATGGAATGAAACCCATGTCGCGTCTACGACGATTTGTGAACTCGCCCTTTATGAACCAGTATGGAATGTTGAAAACTAACACCGGCGCAGCAGCGCGCTTAAGGTCAAGCGTGCCTTTGAATCGAACCCGTATGAATTGAAACGTGCTCGAACATGACCCACATCCCAAAACGAAGTAACTTTTAATATCGAACCAGGCGGAATGAAACCTGACGTTGACGTGGCATGTGAAAAACGCGTTTCCAGCTTTTTAATCGAACAGTATGGAATTGAACATTGAAGAAGGTTGGCCATGATGCGTCCTCAAGGTTCGATTTTAATCGAACCGTATGGAATATGCACACCAGTATTGATGATTGATTTACGCGTTCCGCGTTGCTTTTAATCGAACCAGTATGGAATTTGAAAACTTCGAGTGCGACAGAGATGTTTGCGGTAATGATTGACTTTTATCGAACCAGTCTGGAATTCTTGAAACTTCCCAATGCTCTGATGAATTCGAAGAGTCGCCCTTTAATTTTTATCGAACCAGTATGGCATTGAAAACTCA